TTCAGTTGTGACTCCTCCCTCAGGTCCTCCATCTCTCTGCTCAAACATCACTTCTGCCCAAGATCTTCACTGCCATTCTGTGTAAAGTGTGTGCCTTCTACCCCCTCAGGCTTCCTCTCCCTTCTCCTGCTTCGTTTTTCTCCATTGCCTCTATCACCATCTGACTTTTAATTATCTCCTGTCTCCCCTTGTAGAATGCGAGTTCTCCCAGGGCCTGGATCCTTCTTTTATTCCCCACTGAATCTTCAGAGCCTGGAACAGTGCCTGGTATAGAGGAGGCACTCAAGAAATATTTGCAGAATAGATGAAAAACTGACCTGAAAGAGCACAGCTCCTCAACTCTGGTGTCTGGTATTAAGGAGTGTCTGGGGCCACCACAAGGGACACAAAAGGTGGGCACAGAATCCCTGAGAAACAGCCCCTATCGGAACAAGCCTCAGCAAGATTGCTGTGCCAGCCTTGGGCGGGGCCTGCACAGCGCAGGTGCCCTCATGAGACGGGGCAGTGGGATCTAACAGACCACCAGAGCAGGCTGTTTCTGAAGGATGATGCCCCGGGAGGGAGGGTGACGCTGCCGGCTGCAGGATTCGGCCACCCTCTCAGGCAGGAGTGGCAGAACTTTTAGGCTGGGCAGGAGTGGGGAGCCTGCTGGGAGTGGAGGTACCCCAACTTGCTTCCCCTGAAGCCAGTCCAAGATGTGGGTAGATACACAGGTCAGCCAATAATCGCTACCAGTCCCTGAACGCTGACAACTGGCCAGGCTCACACTACATCATCAGTCCCCCCAAGAGCCTCTGAGGTGAGCGCTGTGATCAACCCCATTTTACAGATGAAGAAGCGTGTCCAGTTCCTTGGTTAAGGTCACAGAAGCTGGCTCGTGGTGAAGCTGGGTTAGAATGCAGGGAAATGGGCCACCTCAAACCTGAGGTTGTACCACGACTCACTAGCCAAGAGAGAGGCGTCCCATTCTGTCCCTCACAAGAGAGATGGGACCATGGGGACACAAGAGGTTGGTCTGCCACCCCAGTCCCAGCGCCTTGAGGACATGCGGGCCTGGAAGATCTGGGCACAGCTGGTGACTGACACGGTGTTCTGCTTTGACTAGTAGTTCTGGGGGAAATGTGAGTGTGCATGTGAGTGTGCATGTGCGTGTGTGTGTGTCTGTGAATTAAAAGACCTGGTAATGCCCTGGGACCCACACAGCTTTGCTGCAGGACTGTCCCTTCAAAAGGCCTTCCTGACTGTGCAGAGTCAACAGGAGTGGTGACAGGAACTAAGCTCAGGGCGAAGCTGGGGTCCCCGGCTGCTGGGCTGTGGCCAGGATGCCTTGGGACATCCGGCAGCACTTTTGTGGCTGATAACTGGGGGCCTGTCGCCTCTCCATTCCCTGTAGCTGCGCAGTGTGGATGTAGCACATGTGCTTGCTTTCCTAGGCTGGGAAGCTGGAGGCTTTTTAAAGGAAGGTTTTTTTTTGTTTGTTTTGTTTCTTAAATAAATGGTGGAATATTTAAACAGCAATAAAAAGAACAGACTACTTTTACATGCTCTTACCTGTAGCAACATGGATGACTGTCACAGACATAAAGATGAACAAACGAAGACAGACACAAAAGATAACATACTGTAGAATTCCACTTCTATGAAGCTTCAGCTCCTATGAGTTTATATGAAGTGCATTAGTTATACACTGCTGGAGGAGGGCACTGAGAGGGTGTGACCACCAGTTGACCTGCTAGCTCACCCGGGCAACTGGGGGTTCCTCACCCCCTCCCCTGCCTTCAGAATGTATGCTCCACCCTAGGAGCTGTTTTAAGGACATGGCCTTGAGAGAGTAAGGTGGTGTTGGGACCATCTGGACTGAATACGTGACTGAACTCAGTTAAGGCCTCTATATAAATTTTATTATTCTGGCAAGTGGATGCAGAGAACTACTGTCTTTCAGCGCCCAAGATAATCCTTTGCTTATTAAAACTGCCACCTACCAAATGGGACCATGTAGTGACTGTATCTTATTGATAGGAGTCCTTAAGTGGTTAAATTGATTTAACCATTTAGCTGTGGAGACAACTATTCCCCTCAATCTCTCTATCAGATAATTCCCTTCAGGAAAATGGCAAGATGGCTATTTGTACAGCTGGGTCACCGGTTAGCTAGGCCACTGGGCAAGAACCGATCAGGAAGCGGGTGGTAGGGGATGCCTGGGAACCTGGAGTCGGGGAGGGTGGAGTCTTAGGACAGGAGGGCTGCTCAGTCCAAGGTCAGTGCAGCCTAAAGCTGTGACCAAATCAAACTTTCACTAATCAAGTCTGTCATCAGTTTTTGGCCTGGGCAGGACCCCGCAGATCCGGTATAAGTCAGACCAGGTCTGAGGAGGGACCACAAACCTGAATTTCCATCCCCTTGGCTAGTGTTCCCCTGTAGTGGGTATAAAGCAGAAAGATGGGCACAGTTCTTCCATGACAGAGGATTCTACCCAGTAAACAATACACCCTAGGGGTTTTGGGTCTTTGGAAAAAATTGCTCTATAGGATATTGACCAATTTTGTATCTGATTTAGCAATCTTATTTCAGAATTCCTTCTTCCTCCCCCCTGACTATATACGTGTGTGTGTGTGTGTGTGTGTGTGAGTTTCTTGTATCCCCTTTAAACTGGCTCTGTCATCCCCCTCATTAGGGAGTTTAAAAAAAAGTCTAAAGCATGCTGCATGTCTAGTTATATGGGAATTATTTCTAAGTTTTTGAATATTCTACTTAAACATTCTCTGTGTATGTGTATGTCTCTGTCTCTGTCTCGTTACATCAGGAATCATGGGATGTCTAGAAAGGCTCCCCAGGGCTGGACAGGGTCTGAGGGCAGCAAGGCTGATGGGCACAAGTCCTGAGAGCCTATTGGTGGCCAGGGCACAGTGACTACAGCTGGACACTTGGGCCTACGAGCGGGGTTGGGGGAGGCTCTGTGGCTTAGGATAGGGAAAACCCCATTGGTGAAGAGGGGCAGGTCTCAAGGGAGGCCCTAGGAGGCCGTCGCTGGAGGTGGGGGTGGGAATTAAAATTCCAGATGCATCTTCAGGCCTGAAGCATGTTGAGTGTTGGGCTCCAGGGGAGCTCTCATTACCCACCCCACGACTTGACTAACAAAGGGGAAGACTCATCCAAGTTCACAAGGTGGGAAGTGGCTCTTCTGGCCCCTCCCTAGTCTTCTGCCCTTTGGAATTAGACCCGATGCTTCCAACCTCCCCAGGGGAGGGTGCGGCCCCCTTCCAGTCCCAACCCAGCACTTATCACAGAGACATTGATCTTGAGGCTGATAACCAGCCAGACCAGGAATCTCCTCTGGGGTGGGGGAAGCTCAGGGCCAGCAAACTAAGGGAGGTAGGGCGATGTCAGAGGATGGCCTAGGGACCAAGCTGCTCCACCCGAGTCCCAGGGCCCACAGACAGGCAGGGGAGCCATGGCTCAGCTGCAGAGACGTTTACTGCTGGGACCTAGAGCATAGCTGCTAGGATGGAATGGCTTCCTGAGGAGGCCACCTGTCTCCAGCCTCGGGCCCAGCCAGGGCTGCCACTGGTTTCCGTGGTTGTGGGGAGCATCAGGCTACAGGATGGCCAGCTCATCCTTCTGGGAACTGGGCAGCTGCAGGCAAGGGGAGCCGAGTCAGTGGCTGGGCATGCTGTCCTCTCGCCCCATGCACCCCTGGGTGGAGGTCTGTGTACCTGGAACAGCGCCCCCTCTTGGAAGGCCTGGGCTCCCTCCTGGGTGTCCTTCCCTTCCTCCTGGATGGCCCTCTCTCCATCTAGGATGGCCTTTGCTTCCTCCTTCAGGCTCTCGTACAAAGAGTTAGGCTGGAAAAAAGGGTTGCAGGGGCCAGAGGTGAGTAGCCAACCTCAGGCAGGACTGCCAGCACAGGAGCTGGTCCAGGAGACAGGGAGGAGGCACAATGAAGAAGAGGGTCCTAGACTGAGGCTCTCACCAGGTCTTGCAGCTTCTCCCCCAGGGCCAGGTTGTCTGCTTGGATGGTACTCAGGGACTCCCGAAGCCTAGAGTTGAAAAAGAGACCCTCTGCTCAGCCCCCAGGAGCTTGTCCTAGTCAGCCCTCACCCCCACCCCCAACACACAGCTCTTGCATGAGCTGCAGGATCTGGCACCAGCCAGGAGCCCAGGGTTTCACCAAGAGCTCAGGCTGGCTCTGGGGAAGCCACAGGCAGGGAGGGAATTGATCTCCCCACGTGACCCGCAGCAGGGGACCGCACAGAGCCGAACTGTGCTTTTCTTCTTCTTTAGCCAGAGAAGAGCAGGTGACTTCATCGCATATGCTTGGATAGGAATCCTCTAAGGCAGCCTATAGGGCTGGCCACCCCACCCCTCTGGGCTTCAGTGGGGGCTGTGACAGGTTCTGGGTGGTTTCCGTGTGGAACTGTGTGGAACTAGCCCTGCCGGAGCGGCTGGGTCAGCTGTGGATGAATGGAAGTGCCAACCACACAGCTCCATGGCCATGGGAGCCATGTGCAGCCTTTGGGGAATGATGTCACACCCCCCCCATCCCAAGACCTCTGTCACCAGGTGGAGATCTGACCCTAGTATTGCCTCAGACAGGCAAGCGACCATGGGATTGTGCAGACCTAATGTCCAGAGTCTGACATGCGGAGAACAGACCCTCCCTGCCACTTCCCCACAGACCAAACTACCCCTCAGGTTCTTGACAATTAAAGATGGGGTCCCTTCTAGGCAGCCTATAGACGGCCCGCTATCCAGGCAGGTGGGCGCACTGATGGGAAAGAGCTGTGGCCTCCATTCCTGCTCACATACAAGGACACCGATGCTGGGGAGGGAAGGGACTGATTGGCCAGCAAGGACGTCATCCAGAGTAGAACAGACAGAAGGCAAGGGAAGGAGGGGAAGACCAAGGCTGAGTGAAGGTGCAAACCCACAGCTGTCAAGCCCCAGTCCTTGACCTCCACAGAGCTCCACCCTACCTGTCCTCATTCCCCCTCCTACCTGTCCCCACCTGCTCCTGCCCAGCTCACCTCTGGCAAATATTCTGCAAATGGCTCATTTCCTTCGAGGTCCGCTGGGGGCCCCAGTCTTCCTTATCCAGGAACCGGCACGCCTGGCTCTCCAAGTCCCTGGGGTGGGTGGGCAATGAGGGTTGGACCAGTCTAGAGACTGGGGCAGGGGTAGGGTGGGCAGAGCAGGGACCCAGCCCGAGGTTGAGGCTTCCTCAGTCCTATCTTAGCCATGTCCCTGCACACCCCAGGGCTGAGTCCTAGCCCAGGTCTGAATGGTGATGGTCAGGGAGAAGCACTCTGTGCCCCATTCCTCTTCACACCCTCACACATGCACACACAGCCTTACTCTTCAGGGTCTTTGGTGGGCTCTGCTGTGCTCAGGAGTGTAAACAGGAACGTGATGGTGGCTTCCTCTTGGAGGCCCAGCTTTTGCTCTGAAGAATCTGAAGAAGGTGGCTTTGGCAGAGAGGGTGTCGTGGTGACTGAAGGGGCACGAGGCTGGCTGCCCAGGAGCTGGGTCCTCCCACACCCAATAGCAAGATGGTGGGGTGCAATGGCTGGGGGTTCAGATCTCCATCCAGGCAGAAGAAGAATTTCTCCAGCCCTCCTGCCATCCTGGCCCTCTGCCTTGGGAGGTCCTGGGGCTTCCTTTTACCTCTGTGCCTGGCTCCCTAGAGACCTGAGGGTCTTCTGGCTTCTGCTTCTCAACAGGCTGCCGCACGGGCTTCTCCTCAGGCTTGGAGTGGGCCCTTCGTCCGCCCCTGGGAGACTGAGGGAGATAGAAACTTGGTTGATGAGCCACATCCCCCGTCCCATTGGCCTCCCCTTTCTAGCCTCTGGTTTTCCTGGGGCAGCCTCCAGCCTCGAGAATCTCCACCACCAGCTCTGTGCAGTAAACCAGCCCTTTGAACCTGGGCTGCCACCCATCTCCCCAGTGCCTGGGGGGCTTAAAGTTAGGGCTATCAGATTTAGCAAACAAAATATAGGACACCCAGAGAAATTAGAATTTCAGGTAAACAGTGAATCACTTTTTAGCATAAGTCGATCCCAAACATTGCACAGGATAGACTTATACTTTAAAAAGTATTTATTTTTCATCTAAATTCAAATTTCACTGGGTATCCTGTATTTTACCTGGCAACCCTACCAAAGCTACCTGCTAGTGATATTTGGTAAACGAACCCCCAGAGATGCAAGGAGGTGGGGTTGGGGTCTGGGAGGGCTGGGTTGGCACTATTTAAAGGAATCCTAGAGAAACTTATAAGAAAGTAGAGAATCTCTCCAATTTTTGGTGTAGAAGTCATCTATCAATTGTACATTGAGAAGCAAAGAGTGTGCCATTCAAGACCCTCAACTTGTGGACACCCTTGTTTCTAACCCACCTAATATTCCGCCGTCCTTGAATAAGCCCCTGCTCATACTGGGCCATGAGCTTCACTTCCCAGCACCGTCCCAGCCGTCCCCTCTGCTGTACTCTTACCTATACAGTTCACCCTTCTCCCATTCCCTCCCCACTTTGCAATCTGAACCTGGTCACTCTTTTCTCTGCTGAGCCAAGGCAGTGCCTCCCCAGGACCCCCTTGGGCAGGTCTGCAGAGGAGCCGGAGCTGGGCTGAGCCTGAGGATGCTTCTGTCTCTACCAGGTGGTATAAGATGTTCCACCGAGCAGGCTTGAAATAGAAGCTTCTCCACAAGTCACAGAAAGTCTTAAGTCAATAGATGAAATTGTTATCATTTTGCACTGTGAGATTTTTCAGAATCTTGTCCATTTGCTGGCCAAACGATGGACGGCAATCCAATTAGAGAACAAATAGTGACCTCAGATGTGTCCTTCTTCACACTGAGCTCCACCTGGGCTTCTGACAGCCCTGTGGGTTGCGGCAGGAATTGTATGCAGTGTGCTCTCTGCATCACATTGAACCTTTCCAGATAACTTAAAAATATCATGGTTCCTGTCCATGTGACATAAGCAGAATCTCCGTGGCCTGCAGTGCCCTGCAGAGGGCCTGTCACCCTGGGCACGCACTGAGCTTCAGGGTGGAACCGATTCTCAGAAGCTGGGAGCTCTGTCACTGGCTTTGATCTGTCCCAGAGGGATGCGGCAACATATAGCAAGGTCTACAAAACTAGCCAGAACTTTGTCCTGTTAACTTTGCTTTGGAAACTAGGGCTAAAGAAACAACTCCAAAGGTAGTAAAAATAATTCACCCAGAGATCCACAGCAGATGATTCACACCAAGAAGAAAAACTGGAACCGGCCTAAAGGGCCCAAATATAAGAAAAAGTAAGTAAACAGTGACTTATGAACGTAATAGAATACAGTCCACTCTGTAGTGAATGGGGTACGGGGATGGTCACAGGTGACCAGTGCTGGGAGATGTGCCAATACAGACACTTGCAGAGAAAGCTCTGGCAGCAAGATGAGAGAGCCACTTGGCTTAGGAGCTCCAGAAAGACTCCACCAAGGAGGGACTACTCAATCTTCAACAAGTCAGGTATCCTGGCCAGAGAAGGAAGAAGGGGAATCCAGAAGAGGGAATGGTTTGGGCAGGATGGTGCTGATTGGCTTGGCATGTTCAGGTGTGGGGTGCTCCCACTGAGATCCAAGCTGAGCAGGCCTGGGCTGTGGTTCCCAGGTGACAAGGAGGCAAGGGAGACCTTTGGTTGTTTCTCCATGTGGGTTGTTGGGGCCGTAGCTGGGAAGATGGATGGGAGGAAGAGACTGGGGGCAGAAGCCCAAGGTCTTGGGAATGAAGGAGAGAAGCACATACAACTGCTGTGCAAGAAAGGGTCTACACTATCTTAATATCGGGAAAGGCGCACATGAGACGCTGTCACACCACCAAAGCAGACCTCACACGGTCTGTCTGTGCTCCATGTGCAGTGTACCATGCAAGGTTGCCAAATGAAACACAGGATGCCTGGTTCAATTTGAATGCCAGATAAACAATGAGATTTGCTTTAGTTTAAACACATCCCAAATATTGCATGGGACATATGTGTACTACAAAAATACTCACTGTTTATTGGATTTGGGACATGCTTATGCTAAACAAAAATTCATTGTTTATCTGACCTAGGAAAAAAGGTAAAAAGTGAAAATAGCGTTCAGTTGTTGGTTCTGCAGCACGCTGGTATAGAAGCAGCCACAGTGGTCCCGCCAGACTCCTCCACCAGCAACTGCACTCAGCATCTCAGTATCAAGTGAGCATCTGTGCTTCATCTCCATTTACTTTGTGCGTCCGTTAGCAAGATATGTGCTTTTTGCTTTACACCATTTTGGCCTACAAAGGTTTGACAAGAATGCTCTACTTTTAGATAGTGGGGGAAATTTGTCCTATTATTTTTTTTAATTGCTTTTTTTGTTTGTTTGTTTTTGAGGGGGGGAGGTAATTATGTTTATTTTTTTTTTAGAGGAGGTACTGGGGATTGAACCCAGGACCTTGTGCACGCTAGGCATGCGCTCTACCACTTGAGCTATACCCTCCTCGCTAAATTTGTCCTATTATTGTTTCCATTTTACAGATAAGGAAACGGAGGCACAGAGAAACAAATAACTTGCCTGGGGTCAGACATCTAGAAACTGGCAGCACCAGTATCCAAACCCCATTGACCTCTGGAATCTGTGCTCTTGCCCATCATGCTGCCTCTGCAGACGGAACAGGCAGGGAGGAAAGACTGAGCAAAGGCCTGGAGGTGTGGACCTTGCAGCAGCTCAGGGTTCTGTGGGCCTCAAGACTGGAGGCATGGCCACCAGCCTCACCCTGGAGTCCTCACGAGGCCTGCCAAGCAGTCTGGACCAGCAGGGATCCTGGTTGCAAACAAGAGAAAACCATATTGGCTAATTTGAGCAGAAAAGGAGTTTACTAGAAAGACACTTGGGAGTTGCAAAATTCAGAGAAAGAACAGACTCAAAGGGCAGTAAGTGTGGGACGCTGGCCACCAGGACCACATGAGGACGCTGCCACAGAAGCAAACTGTAGCGTTCTGCCATCTCCACACTGGATACCAGAAGCCTGGGGCTGCTGGACATGTGAGGCTACCACCTTGCTGGATCTTCAGTTGTTCTTCCCTCTTTCCAGGTCCTCGTGCAAAATCTGATCGGCTGAGCTCAGGTCAGATGCCTGTGCCTTGGTTGCTGGGGTCAGAGGGAGCAAGTGTGGCCTCCTCATGCCCACAGGAGGAAGCAGGGTCTGCAGTCAGCCCATTTGTAGATGTTAGGACTCTGGGCCACCAAAACCCCATAACTGTGCATCACACCACTGCATGGACAATGTAAAGTTGCCAAAGGGTTGTTTTTTAAAACTTACTATGGTAAAATACATGACATTTACCATTTTAACTGTACAGTTCAGTGGCATTGAGCAGACTCAACATCGCTGCACAACCATCACCATCATCCACGTCCAGAACTTCTTCATCTTCCCAAACTGAAATTGTCCCCATTAAATAGTAACTCCCCATTCCCCCAGCCCCTGGCAACCACCATCCTGTCTGTCTTTGTGAATTCGACAGTTCTAGGTATTTCATATAAACAAGAGTTGTACAATATTTGTCTTTTTGTGTCTGGCTCATTTCACTAAGCATGTTTTCAAGGTTTATCCATGTAGCTTGTATCAGAAAATCATCCCTTTTGAGGGCTGAATAATATTCTGTTGTACCTTATACTGCATTATGTTTATCCACTCATTCACTGATGGATGTTTGTGTTGTTTCCACCTTCTGGCCATTGTGAATGCTGCTATGAACATGGGTGTACGAGTATCTTGAGACCCTGCTTTCAATTCTTTTGGGTATTATACTCAGAAGTGGAACAGTATCAGTGTTAAGCAGGGGATAAACAGCATCATACTTTCTTAGAAAACTCATTCGGGCCGCAGTGTTGTGGAGTTTGAAGAGGTGAGAGATTAAAGGGAAGGAGACTCGTTAGGAGGCCAGGGCAACTGTCCAGTGGCCTCAGGGATGGAGGGATGTGGAGGAGGTTGGGGCTGACAGAATGGGGTGAGAGAGAGGGTAGAGGTGCAAATGACCCCAGGTCCCTGGGTGGTGGGACTGGGTCAGCTGGTGGTGGTGCTAATGGCAGAGGGAGCACAGGAAGAGGCAAGCTGGTGGATGAGCTGAATTTGAGATGACTTCTGGGGTGGGATACAGTTCTAAAAGACAGTCCTAGATTCTGGTTTGAAGCTCAGGAGAGAGGTATGGTTTGGAGATAGAGACTAGCAAGTCTTGAGCAAGGAGGTGACCCACAAAGAGCAAGGAGATTGAAAAGAGGATCCAGGACTGAACGTGGGTGTGCTGGTATTTCAGGGGAAGCCAAGAAAGAGGGGCCACCAGTACTACGGCCCCAAGAAGCGTGTTCTCAGCCCAGGCTGCAGAGGCCTGAGTCTGTAGCATTGGTCATTAGGGGGGCCGCTGGTTACTTTTGTCCAAGCAGTAAATGGAGTGATGAGGGCACCCAGAGTAAATTGAAAGGAAGCAGAGAACCTTTGGACATTATTTCAAAGGGGTTAATCTTGAAAGACATTAATAGCAGTAGATGAAAACATGCTGGATAAGATTTTTTTTGGATTAGGATTAAGGTGGTTGTTTTCAACAATTAAATGAACATAAGCCTGTTTAAGACTTGTAGGAGAAAGAGGCATCTCAGAGATGAGAACTGGATCAAAAGCCAAAATGGAAAGCTTGGTCTTGAAAAGAGGAGCCCCCTCTCCTCTGGGTAAGGGAAGGAGGTAAAGGTGGGGAGGCTTAGGGAGAATTTAAAGACCTTGATCTGCTCTAAGGACTAGGAGGCAAGGACAAGCATAGAGGATGCGAGGGAGAGGAAGAGAATTCCTGGGAATCTGCACCTCTGACTAGCTCCCCAGGGGTTCTGCACTCAGTGCTGGGGAGCATCCAGGTTGGGCCCGTGTGAAACATCGGTCCCTTAGCAGGAGTCTGACAGGGAGACGGGGCCGGGGAGCTAGGGCTGGAATTGGGGTGGTGTGCAGATTGGTTTCCAGGTACTGAGCAAAGCTCTTAGCAGCCTCACCCCAGCCCCGACTTCTTTCCTCCAGCCCTGCCTTGGAGTGGGTACAGTGACTGGACAGGTGGGAGTGACCTACTGCAGGGCTTCTGGAGGTCAGGCTGGCAGCCCTCGGTACAAAGGGACAAGCCTGGTGACACAGCCAAAAGAAAGTGTGGCTCTTGGGCCCCACACCATCAGCTCTGCCTTTGACCCAACAAAAGAAACACTCTCTGAACAGGCAATAATTCTTTAATCAGGTTTTCTTTTTTAATTTAAAAAAGAAACCTGTTTTCTCTTAAACTCCATTCTTACTTTTTCAGGGACAGAGAGAAGTTTGTGATAATGAAATCAACCCAACATCATTTGGTGACTTCCAGTTCTACAGGACTGTTTCCTGGGAGTTGTCCTGCCAGCTGGTGAGGACAGCCCAAAGGCATCTGGGCCCACCCTGGTAAACGGGCTTGCTTGCAGGATTTGACAAAGCACGAAGCGTTCAACAGGTAGCCTGGGACCCTTCAGCCTTGCAAAGAGTTTAATTAGTGCCATCAGGCCCAAGCATTTCAGGTGCCCTAACCGAGGAAGCGCTTATTTTCCCTGATGTTCTCTGCTGTCCACCAGCCCCTCTACACTCCTCTTAGCCTCCACGTCCACGAACCTGTAAATGTCAAAAGGCACAATGGCCTGGGCTCTGGCGGAAGCTGTGGCTGGGAAGCCTTTGAAGGCTCACTTTTTAACAACATTGAGGAACAAGAAGCAGAGGGTAGGGGAGCAGGGTTCCCCAGAGAACGACCACCGCTCTGCCCCATTCAACTCTGAGCACCTACCTCAGGGCAATGTCCTCGTGTGAGAGGACACTAAGGAAGCTGAAAGCTAAAACTGCTATTAACCACAGCCCCTTTCTGGCACGCGAGAAAAGCTTCTTAGAAATTTACAAGTGTAGCTGCAAAATGCTAGATCACCATCAAGACCATCCAAACCCTAAGTTATTCTTCTATAGCTGAGTAGACTCTGTACACTTTATTTTGTTAAAAAAAAACAAGGTATAAGTGACAGGAGCGTACCCCTTCCCGGCCCCCTGCGGGCCTCCAGTCCCAGTGCCCTGAGCCTCAGGTTCAGTGGCATATGGAGACACCTTCTTTGCCCCAAGCAGCCAGTGCCCCATCAGCCTGGCATTTAACCGAACACCTCAACAGCAGAACAGACTATAAAACACAGCTTCTCTGCAGTAAACATTTACGTTTGAGACCCAGCCAAGGCTTCCCTCTATCCTTCAAAACCTAAGACCCTATAGACTGAATGTCCAGCTTCTCCCTCAGATAGACTGTTTGCAATCCATGGGGACATGTCCTCCTAGACCAGCCACAGAATCTATGAGGAAACCCAAGCCTTGATACCTTGAGAGGATCATGACAGGGAACAGAAGGCAACTCAGAAGAGAAAGGGCAAGGCTGGCTGTGGCCCTCGGCATTCGTTTCTGGTGGAGCTGGTGCAGAGCAGCCATGTTTCCCAACAAGGGCGGAGGTGCTCTCTCACCCACAACCCCCCGCCCTTTAACCTCCTCGGGCTGGGCTAGTGATTCTGACTCCCTAGTCTGTGGCCCAACTGGAAACCAACTGGGATACTCTGGGAGGCAGGGAGGAGAGGGTAGTGGGTCACCGACTACAGAAAGGACACCAGTGCATGGCTGGGCCAGGCAGGCCGGGCCCCCTTTCCTGAAGCTGAGACGGCTGTGGCTACCACACAAGCCCTGGGAGGAGGACAGGCCTCCTGTGCAGCAACAGCACGGTGGTGGGTAACAAGGCCAGGGGAGGGGACCCTGAGAGTCTTCTCCACAGGTAGAGGGGACTATGTACAGGGGGAGAAGAGTCTGGCCAGGTGCATCCCCATCTCATCTCATTCAACCAGGAGATCAAACTGCTCAGCAGCTTCAAACTCAGCATTCATGGCCGCGGCCCACTCATCCAGCTCCGATTTCTGGGGGAAGAGAAATGGGGGGCAGGTGAGTGGGGAAGGGGGCATGTTGGCTGGAATGTCTCCACCTATGGTCTGCAGGCGCTGCCTTTCCCTCATAAAAACCAGAGCTGAGCCCCGGCCCTGTGAGTGTCTGGTGTGTCTGGCGTGTCCGCAGAGGAAGGCCCTGCCCCTCACTCACCAAGATTTCAGGCACCTTCTTCTTCTTTCGCTTCTCTTTTATGACCGGCGGGGAGATTCCAGGAAGAGTCATGTCTGGGGCCCAGGGCTTCGCAGGGACCCTGGGGACCTCGGTTAACTTTGAACACACCACCGGTGAGACTCCAGCCAAGTCTTCTGCCGCCAGCAGCCCCTCAAAGCCAAAGCAGGACCGGCGGCCAGGGGTGGAGGTGGAGGCAGAGCCAAGAGTCTCCAGACGGCTATAGGATCGCCTGACTTTCTTCGACATTTCCAAGTCTCTGGCGTCCAGGTCTCCTTCTCCGGAGTTGGACTCAACACTAATAGAGCAGAGCACAGGAGTGGGGGTGGGGGTGACAGGGACGCTGCATGTCTGGAAGAGGTCTTCCCTTGCAGGCTTCTTGCTGGAAGGGTTGTTTTCTTTCTCCAAGAGAAAAGCAATCTGTACCAAGATGGAAGAGAGAATGCCTCCCTGTTACCTAGCTGTGTTACTCTCAGAAAGGCCCAAGGAGATGTAGGGCAGAAAGACAGACCCACAGGACACTTTTAAAAGGGAAAGTGGAGACAAGTTAGGCACTGAGACAGATGTGGGGAGGGGAAGAGACCAGTCAGTCATGGCTTCTGAGTCCACTGTTGTGACACAAGAAGACTGGCCACCATCCCCGACGCTATCAGGTCTGTCCCCAAAATGTGACTGAACCCTAACCATCCGTCACTGGAGCAAGCCCCCATCACCTGTCCTCTAGACCCTTTCAATACCCTCCTCCCTGCCCCTTCCTGCTCCGGTCCATTTGCCACACAGCTGGAGATGATTTTCCTAAAATCTCCATCCAGTCAGTAAGTACGTATGGGTCACCTGCCAGGCCCTGTCCTGGGCACTGGGAGTACAGCAGGGAAAAAAACAGAGAGAACCCCTGTCTTCGTGGAGCTTCCACTCTAGCAGGGAAAAGAGGCAATAGAAATCATGTTGTCCGTTAGAGATGCTAAGTTCTCTTTTGGAGAAAAACAGGAGCCTAGAGCATACTTGGGGGTGGTTTGGAATTTTAAGCAGGTATACATCAATGTAGGCCCCACTGAGGTAGCATCTGAGCTATGACTTGAAGGAGGTGAGGGAATAAGTCATCTGGAGAAGAAATGTTCTAGGCAGAGCAAACAGAAGGTACAAAGGTCCTGAGGTGCAACTATGACAGTCACTGTCAAGGAACAGGAAGGCCAGTGTGGCTAAAAGTGAGAAGAGGAACTGAAGGTGGTTTGGGAGGTAATGGGCATGTTCTAAGGCGTTTTGGTAGGCCACTGTAAGGGGAGACCCTTGCTCTGAGACCCAGGGAGCCATGGCAAGGTTATGAACAGGAAAGTGCTTAATCTGACATGCGTACTAAGAGGTCCATGTACTGGCTCCTCTTAAGTCTAATCTCAGTTCAAATACTGTTCCCTCAGGGAGGCCATCCCTCACCTTGGAGTAGAGACCAGCCCCCCTTCACCTCTGCTTGTTACCCTCCGTCACAATGACCTCTTTCCTGGACAGCAACCATCACTACCTGATTTTGGCTGCTCACTGGTTGACTGTCACCCCAATCAGAACGTGCGCTTCATCTGTCTGGTTCTCGCCTACGCCCAGCACCTTCAGCAGGGCCCTGCAAGGAGCAGGTATTCAACAGATGCTCACAGGATTAACTTACACAAACTTGGCACTGAGCTTTCTGACAGCCAAGACAAGGTGAGAAGTGGGATAAATTCAGTGACCTCTATTGTGGTCTAATAGAATTGTATTGGTTATTAAGAGAGACATCTGGCTACAGGCTCTGAGAAATCTGCCCTATTACTCTTAACCTAGTAAAAGGGATGCTGAACAAAAGTAGTTGGGTGTCATCCAACTACTTCTTCCCCTACAGCCAAGCACGCAGCTTTTTGGCTTATTATTTCATCAAACAATCATTCAGCCAAGAAAGAGTGGCCACCACAGGGGAGGCAGAAGTCCCTGTCCTCAAGACAACAAACATGCAAACAAAATACTCTCTGCTATTCATCAAGCCTGTGGAGAACTATATCCGGAATGTTTCTAGGAGGTGTTCTTTGAGCTAAGTCCTGTGTGATGGGGTGAGGAGCAGCACTCTGCCTTTACCTTACTCCGGGCTCCCACCATCTCACTTCAGGATTCCTTTCAAGTCCTCGTACCTGGTTTTGGGGTCCCCAAGAGGCTTTCTCCAACACATCCTCCACCCAGACCCAAGAGGGATCTTTCTAAAACATCCAAGCTTGCCTCAGTCACTACCTTGCTTAAGGCTCTCCAAAGCTGCCCACAGAACCAAGGATGAAGTCCAAACTCCTAAGCGTGGCTTTCATGCCTCATCAGGATCTGGTCTGGCTCAGCACACTCCCTTGCCCTGACAAGGTCTGCTGCAGACACACCAAACAAGCTGCTGTTCCCAAACCTTGGGCTTTTCCTTGTGGACTCTGCAAACACAGCCTGCCTTTAAAGATTCAGTTTAAATACTTCTTCTGTGAAATATTCCCTGAGCCATCTGGTCTGGGTTAGGTGCCTCCACAGCATCTAGTAGTCTCCTTATTACAGTTCTCAGCACACTAGGTTGTTATCACTTATTCGTCTTTCTCCTCATTTGACTGTAAGCCCCATGAGCTCTTCAAAGGCATTCATTATATCTTCTCTTTCATTATAGCTTCAGGCACAGATCTTGTCAATGAAACATCCTTAGTAACTTCTGCTAACAGTTAAGAACACTGCAATTCCATAAGTAAAAACTAGAATAATAGACCAGAAAGAAGAAAGAGTAATTAAGACACAGCTCAACTTTCAAAGAAAAACAGCAGGGAATACTAGGACATCAATAGCTAAATGTACTAAATCTGCAGGAAGCAAGCAAGACAGGCAGTACATGCAGGTGTCCAAAGGCAAATTATTTCAAAATACAACAAAAACAGCTCCCTGGGTAGATGTAAGTAGCCATTATGTCCCGCCCCAGCTCTAGAGTGCCCTGGATTCCCATCAACTAAGCAGATGAAAATGAACTTACCCTGGGGCTCCTTCGAGGCGACTGAACAGATGGGGTCTGCAGAGACAACACCAATTAAACACAGAGCTGGCCCCCAATTTTGGCTCCCCACCTACAACCCCTCTCTCAGCCCTCACCTCTACAGTATGTGCCACGATCTTCTTCAAGACGATGGGCTTTCTGATTGGAGCCTCTTGGGGTGCCTGGAGAAAAGGGGTGAACATGAGCTCTATATTAGTCCAGGGACCCCATGGGCAGGAGGAACTGAGGAACGCAGGGCTCACCTTAGGCCAGATTTCCGGGAGGGTGCTTGGGAGATCAGAGCCTGATTTCCGCTGGGACCTCCGCAAAGACTGAGTGGGAGTTGGGGCCTTGGGCTCTGGAAGGAGAAAAACTTACGAGGTAGGGGAGCACTCTGGACCTCAGAGTCTAGAGAACAGGTTCTGGAGAGAGCGAGAGAAGGTCCCTAACAGGCCCTTTGGGGGCGCCTTCCCAGTGGAGGGGACAAGCCTCCTAGTGTAGTGAGGGGAGGGCCTTCCTCACAGGACAGCGTCCCTCAAACGGTTCAACCCCATCCCTCCCGCGCGCCCTCTGCTCACCGGAGCACTGGGCGGCCCCTCCGGACCGCGTTCGCCTCTCGGACATGTCTAGCCTTGGTCTCGCTCGCCGCCGCCGCCGCCGCCGCCGCCGCAGCTGCCGGGGCTCGCGCCAACCCGAAGGGCAAACGTTCGAATTACCCGCCTTGCCCGAGAGGAAGCGGAAGTGACGTAGAGCGGGAGGGCCGCCGAGCTCTCATCACCCCTTCTTCAGCCGCCTCCACGTCTAGCGTCTACAGGGGCGGGACCAGTGGCGCGCTGGCGTCATCAGTGCGCGCTGCACCCGGAAGAGACGTGGCAGCGGAGGGATAATCGGAGCGTTCTGAGCTGGAGTGAGCTGAGCGAGAGCTCGGCTGAGCGCGGTCTGACCTTCCGCACCTCGCACCAGCCCTCGCGCCCGTGGGGCCGGTGCCGCCTCGGATTAGTAATACGGAGAGTTGGGTGTGTGGAGAGAGTGGGGTGTGTGGAGAAAGTGGGGGCGGGGCTTGGAAGGGGTGGGGCTCAGGAGGGGCCCCCTTGGGGGCGGGGCCGGTGGTATCGGAGGGACTGATGGAGGGGCCTGGCCGGGGGTAGGGTACTGGAGGAATGTGGGGTCTCCGGAGGCGGGATTTATTCAGGGGGCGTGGTTCCGAATGAAGAGGTACGGTAGGCAGGAATTTGGGGTTGGGGAGAAAACGAAAGGTGTTTAGGGCAGTTAAGAGTGGAAACGAACTGGGCTGAGTAGTGCGTAGTGGCAGCCACCAGAACCTGGCTCCCTACCAACTCAGACCCTCTCCTCAGGGTCGACTATGGGGCTTTGCAAGTGCCCCAAGAGGAAGGTGACCAACCTATTCTGCTTCGAACACCGGGTCAACGTCTGCGAGCACTGCCTAGTAGCCAATCACGCCAAGGTGAGTGTTCAGGGGAGTGACTGAGCAGGGCAGTGGGTGGGCAGGTGGCATTGACTTCCTCCAAATTCATAACAGCCTGGCTCTAGAATGGAAGCTCCACGAGGTCAAGGGCTTAATTTTGTTCAATTGCTATATCCCCAATCCTTAAGACAGTCAGGCACACACACAGTATGTGTTCAATAAATGTTCATTGATTGGTCAAACGGAAGGATGAATCTCTAATGGGTTGAGAGAAAAAGAGATATCTGGGCCTTGGGGAGATGGGCTGTGAAGCTCTTGCTCCAGTTTGTGACCTCTTTCTCCCATTCTAGTGCATCGTCCAGTCCTATCTGCAGTGGCTCCAAGATAGCGACTACAACCCCAATTGCCGCCTATGCAACATACCCCTGGCCACGCGGGAGACCACCCGCCTCGTCTGTTATGGTGAGGCCTGGGCACTTTGGGGGCATCAGGACAGGCTCAGTATGACCAGTTTCCAGGCCCTCCCTAAGCAGCAGGACAGTGGGACCCTCAAGCCTGGGAGGCTGAAGTCCCAGATTCTGGTCCAGCTAGGTTACTTACCTTTAGTGTGAGCTCAAGCAAGTCATTTTCCCTAAGTGTTAGTGTCTTTCCTTAAAACTTAAAGCTCTTAGCTTCTTCCCTGCCAATCTCGAGGGTTGAGTGAGAGCCAGGCTTGTGGGTGTGGTTGTGGCTATGCGCAGTAGCTGGCCATGCCATCAATGAGCTGAAAGCAGGGGGCTTTCAGCCATTCAGGATCCATTTCTGATTCCAAGATTAAACAAAGAGGAACTGAGGTTCCCACAGTAATGTCAGCTAAAAGAAGTCAGCAGATGCATGTGTCACAACCTTGATTCTGATGTAAGAGATTTAGCTCCACTTTTTAAAGGAACTAGTGTAAAAGAGTGAGCTCCACATACGTGTTTCTCATTGTGAGTGTGTGTATATCTGTGTATGAGTTTAGTATGTATTGTGTCTTTACATAAGTATTAGTGTGTTCATTAGCAGTGTGGATAAGTGAATGGGTAAATGTTGAATGTGAGCATATGAGCACGGTGTGTTGTGGGGTTGCAGGAGAATTCATGGGTGAGGGTAATTGAATGTTAGGACACGTGGGTGTATAGATGTGTATACGAGAGTTAGTGTGCCTGTAAGTTTGGATACAGGGGATGGCCTTTGTGTTAGACTTTGTGTATATGAAAACATGTCTGTCTGTGCCCATGGATGTGTACATGCATACGTGTGCCCATGTATACATCTAGGAACCTTTTCTGAAACGGTTGTTGATTAGTTGTTAGCCCAGTGAGCTTGTGATGAGTGCAGGTCCAGAGAGGACTCATGGAAAGTGTAGGTGGCATCTGCTTCCCACCCATCCCCACCCCCTAGTGTGCTGGGGAGCTTGGCAGCATCTGCCTTGACTTAGTCAGATAGCGGTGACAAGGAAGGCCAAAGTCTTAGGAAATACTGATGAAGTGGACCTGGGGTAAGGATGGGAAGGAGAAGGCCTTGGGCTTACGCATGCATGTGCATATATCTCTGCAGTGGGTTGGGGGCTGTTGCTTGGCTAGGGGTCCTAAATGTCTTTTTTTCATGCCTCTCCTCCACTATTTCATGGGCCCAAAGATCTCTTCCACTGGGCCTGCCTCAATGAACGTGCCTCCCAGCTACCCCGAAACACAGCACCTGCTGGCTACCAGTGCCCCAGCTGCAGTGGTCCCATCTTCCCTCCAGCCAACCTGGCTGGCCCTGTGGCCTCTGCACTGAGAGAGAAGCTGGCCACGGTCAACTGGGCCCGGGCAGGACTGGGCCTTCCTATGGTGAGAGTGTGTCTGCCCTGGGTCCTACCTGAGCCAGACAGGTGGGTGGGGACAGCACTGGACAGGCTGGTGACATAGGTTCCTTCCTCTAGATTGATGAGGTGGTGAGCCCAGAGCCCGAGCCCCTAAACACTTCCGACTTCTCCGACTGGTCCAGCTTTAATGGTAAGTGGTGGTCTACCCCTGCTGTTTCAGCCCTCATCTCCCTGCGCTGCTGACAGCTCTCTTCCCACCACAGCCAGTGGGAGCCCCGAACAGGAGGCAGTAGCCAGCACTTCTGCTGCCCCGACCTTCTACAGCCAAGTTCCCCGGCCTCCTACTTCCCCGAGCCGGCCTGAGCAGCACACGGTGATCCACATGGGCAGTCCTGAGCCTTTGACTCACGGTGAGCCAGAGCTGCTCCAGGCCAAAAGGGGATGGAACAGGAGTAGGCTGGTTTGTGTGGAGTCAGGCTGAGAAGGGCCAGGATCTCCCGCACCCCCTACCCCTACCCCTTGGGCCAGTTTTCCTGACCCTGTGGATGTTGGTGGCTCTGTTCTTGCAGCCTCAGCCCCAAGGAAGGTGTATGACACGCGGGATGATGACCGGGCATCGGGCCTCCATGGGGACTGTGATGATGACAAGTACCGTCGCCGGCCTGCCCTGGGCTGGCTGGCCCAGCTGCTCAGGTACGTGGAGTCAGGTAGGGCAGGATGTCAGGAAGGGGGAGGAGAGGAAGTGAGAGCCAGAGGCCCTGGTAGGACGATTTCATGACCAAAGGGGCTTGTTCTGGGTGGTAATGGGACCTGGTGTTGGGCTATGCACAGAGGCCTTGGCTTGGCAGTAGAAGTCTTGGGTCTGCCCCTCTCCAGGCTGTTTCTTTGCCTGCTACACGTGAGGTTTGGACTCAGGCTCTTTGAGGCCCCTTCCTGCTCTGACACCACCCAATCTTTGACTCTCTTTATGCCTGACACATTCCAGTTCTGAGAACACAGCTGTGGCCTCAGCTGAGTTGAGCTGCACAGTCCCCCTTGTAGTGGGCAGGTGCAGGGGCAGCCATCCTCACAGCACACACCACTCAGGGATGGTGGCGTGGGGGCCAGAAGATGCGCTCCATAGCTGGGGCCACTGGGGACTGGAGGCCTGACCTGACTTTCCCTCATCCCCCCAGGAGCCGGGCTGGGTCTCGTAAGCGGCCGCTGACCCTGCTCCAGCGGGCGGGGCTGCTGCTGCTGCTGGGGCTGCTGGGCTTCCTGGCCCTCCTTGCCCTCATGTCTCGCCTGGGCCGGGCCGCAGCTGACAGTGATCCCAACCTGGACCCGCTCATGAACCCTCACATCCGTGTGGGTCCCTCCTGAGCCCTTGCTTATGGCTGGTCCAGTCTAGGACTTGGGGCTTAAGCAAGGGGGGAAGTCTGGGGCCCTTCTCTGCTCCTTTCCCTCAAGCCTGAGACACTAAGATCCCAGGCCCAAAGCCAAGTCCACCAGGGTGGCTGCAGGCTTGGCCTGGGGTCCCTGCAGTTCAAGCGTTTGTCTTGATCTGCTTCCCCTGGTTCTCCAGCCTTCCCCCCCGACCCCCCACCCAACAAAGGAACTGTCAGGTGGAAATAAATGACAGACTTTATTAAAACACCTGAAGCAGCCTTTTCCTTCCCCTTCTCAGCCTGGTTCCCAGGCCTCAGTGGTTCTCCTCCCGGTACTGGATGGCCAGAAATTCCAGAGACAGGCGGTTGAAGAACATGGCTCCGTTGAGTACTGGGCAGAGGAGAGAGCCCCTGTCAGCCTTCCCTGCCCCCTCCTTGCTGCGTCTTAGGGTTCCAAAGCTCCCCTCCCCCAGAATACAGCCCCTCCCCTACTCACTCAGGATGGTCAGGGAAAAGCATCGAAGAAACTTGTCATCTGTCATCTCTGCATAGAGTGACCCCATGGCAGCCCAGCAGATGCTGATCACCTTGGAGAACTGTAGACCCCATCCAGTGGGAGAGTGGCCCCCTGACACAACAGTGGGGTTTCCATCAGCCCCTTGGCCCCCCTTGAACAGCCCTTGAGCCCCTGCTCTGGCCTACCATCAGGACAACTGTGTAGCGGAAGCTCATGCGGTCATAGTTGTGAGTGACGTAGAAGTTGTGCACATCGCTGGCAAAGATGCTCAGGTGTATGAAGAAGAGCATCAATGCAGCCATGGTGAGAATCATGCCCTGGGGGAAGAAGAACACGGCCAGGCGGTCCCTCCACCGCATCCCGGCAGTAGCACAGATTCAGGTCAGCCGGCAGAGCTTGAACAAGCAGACACTGCCAGGAAAATCAGCCGACCCCTCTGGTTCTAGAATACACAGTCTGGAATAACAGTAGGATTCTAGAATTGAGGACATTATAGGGGACAAGATTCTAGAACACAGGCTGATTCCAACCAATACAGGAATGTTTCATGGGTGGCCAGGGCAGCCCTGAATTGTGGAGGGGTGGTGAGCTAAAGGTGCAGAGCAGTGGGGCATATCATGTTGCGGGAGGGACAGTGTTCCTCACCATCCCAGCCCACAGCCTCTGTGCTCTTGTGCTAATCTTCTCACCGAGTCCTCTCAACAGTTCCACACAGGAGGTGGTGTGGACACATTCTATAGATGAAGACCTGGGGCTCAGAAGAGTGCAGGGGCATGTGGCAGGTCCACAGCAAGTCTTAGATGAGAGATTAGTGTCATCTCTCCTAATAAAACCTCTTCGGTGTAACTGGAGGGCATAACCAGGTGAGGGCAGGCCTGGGCTGGATCACAGGCTCCAAGTATTTGTTCTAAACCCTAATGGGAGGAACTAAGGGAAGGGATAGCTGTCCTAGGACCTTCCCTGTACCCTCCTGGGTGTGGCCTGGAGAGCAACAGGCTTTTCCATCTCCCCAGGTGTTCTTCCAGCACATGATGCTGGCAGCTCTCCCTCTCTGCTACCTTCCAGCCCTCAGCATTTTCACACCCATCACCTCTACCATTCCAGGAATCCCATGAGAAAGCTGGGACTGGTGGCACAAATCCTATTTTCTACGTGAGTCTGAGGCACAGAGAGGGATTGCCAGCTCAAGTTTTTACAACTAATGAGTGAGGGAATCAGTACTGACACTAAGATCCAGTTCTGCCCGAGAATGTGAAAAGTGCAGGGGCAGTTAGAAGCCAAGAAGGAAACATTCCCTCTGCACACGACAAAGGAGGTGAGAATTCAGAATTGTCAACAAAATAAGTGAGAAAACATGCATGCTTCCAGGAACTAAGTAGAAGAAGAATTGATGTTGAATTTGGCCAGCCCCATTGCCTCCTGCCTCAGAAGTTAAGTCCCAGGTCAGGCCAAAACCTGAAGTCTCCTGCCTCAAGGTGGTAAGGTAAGAGTCTGACCCCACCAGTTATTGCTGCCCCATGTCATTAATCACATCAGACCCTCAGACCCCCAGCTTAACACATTAAAGGGGTGCTGCCTGGTGCCCTAATGCCCAGTCTTGGTCACACTGTTGAAACAATTGCCCTTTAGTTCTCATTTGAATGCAAATGGACTTTCATATATTAGGGCTCCTACCTCAATGCTATTCAAAAAAATCCAAGTAGTGTATGAATACGTTCTTGTCAAAGATTTGCATCATACACAAGCATACAGGGGAAAATGTAACAGTCTCCTGCCTCCACCTCCACTCCTACAGACATAACCCCTTCAGCAGTTTGGTGAGTGGGCATCTTTTGGGTCCCTTCTTGATGTAACTTCATACACCTACATGTACATCTACATGCAGAATTAAAAAAATAAAATCCCACTGTATGTGTTGTCAAAGTATGCTTTTCAAAAAGTTAAAAACACGATATCTAAATAAAGAATAAATGCATAACTAAGATGTATTAACTCATGAGTGAACGTGTTCCCCCTCAGTAAGGTAGTAACACATCTTGAGGAGCTAGATATTGATATGCATTTAAAGAAGAATGTTAGAATGTGACTAGGTTGGATCCAAAATTGGTTGATGTCCTACAGGGCAATAAAAACTAATTTTAAGGTTATTTCCCAACCAGATAGAAATGTGCATCTCTCTGGGATAATATCTAAATTAAAAAAATCAAACAAATGTACAGTTCTATGAGTAATTAATTCTTGGGTGGGCTTGTGAAACAATGCCCCAGTATGACTTTGGAAGGCCCTGTTACACTCTTTGTCTTTATTCCAAGTTTTAGTTAATTTTTCTTAACAGTATTCTGCAACTTTTTTTTTAAAAAGCTGGAGTAGATCTAAATATACTCTTTACTTCATTTTTCTTAAGATTGTAGCTTCATAAGCTAAATGTATATATTTTATACAGCCTCTGAACATCCCATAGTTTCAGAGGTCAGCAAACTTTTCCTGTGAAAGAGCAGACAGTAAATGTTTTAGGTTTTGCCAGCCATATGGTCTCTGTTGCAACCTCTCAGTTCTACTGCAGTAGTGCAAAAGCAGGCATTGATAAGATGTAAACAAGTGGGCATGGGTATGTTCCCATAAAACTTTATTTATGGACATAAATACGAATGTTATATAATTTTCACGTCATGAAATGTCACTATTATATTTTTCAACCATTTAAAACGGAAGAAAAAAAAGCAGCAGCTTACAGGCCATATGAAAACAGATGGTGTGGCTGTGTTTGGTTCGAAGGATCCCTGTGGAAGAATAAAGTTGTTTCTATTCCACCCCTGGCCCCCCGCCCATCATAAGTAATGTTTGAAAGGCCACATTCACAGTCTTTTTCTCCTTTTCATCCATTCAAAATCAACATGTTTCAATTTGACCTCCAAATCTTTCCCTATCTTCAACTTTTCACCTCGTTGAACAGCTGTACCTTTGTCCAAATCAGAAACCTGGGAATTATCCTCAACATCTCCACCCAACCTCTCACTGGACACATCTCATCAGTCACTTAACATCTGACAAGTGTGCCTTATCAGCACGGTATAATAGTTATCAAATTCAAGTGCACCCGAACTACTTGAGGATTTTTAAAAAGAAGCTAGGTCTGAAGGGAGCCCAGAGTCTGCAACGCGCCAAAGGTAATTCTGAAGGCAATTCTGATCCACATCAGAGGACCAGGCTTGAGAAACACTACGGTAGAGGCACTGTGCGGTACTGTACATGCCTTTAATCCTCACAGCCCCCTTGTGAAATACATACCCCAATGGGGAAGCCAAGCCGTGGCCCCGGTAACAAGGCAGTGGCAGGATGCCAGGCACGTGCTCTCTGGCTCCATGGCCTGCACTCCGTCCACTGCATCTAGGGACATATTCCCTGAGACCTTGCCTGCAGGGGTGCGGGGGTGGGAGCCACGCCCCGCTCTCCTTCTGAGAAGAGAGTAACCCGACCAGTTCGACAGAATCCTTCCACCTGAGAAGCTGGGGGGACCCCAGGGCTCTTCCGGAACCTCTTCGCTCAGGGAGGAAAGACTAGGGGGAACTCTAATCTCGAAGGACTAAGGCTGCAGGGGGACGTTTCACCTGAAGGACTGCCTCGTTTCAACAACAACTTTATGGCTCCCGGAAGTGCCTCCTCCCCGTCTCCTGCCCAGCCTCACGCCCGTGGGCGGCAGTTGGAGCCATGGCGGCCGCAGCCGCTGGGCCTGGCCCGGGGTCTGGACCTGGGGACTCCCCGGAGGGGCCCGAAGCGGAGGCTCCGGAGCGTCGGCGGAAGGCGCACGGGATGCTGAAGCTTTACTACGGCCTCTCAGAGGGGGAGGCTGCGGGGCACCCCGCGGGGCCGGACCCCCTGGACCCGACGGATCTCAACGGGGCGCACTTCGACCCGGAAGTGTATCTGGACAAGGTGTGTGTATGGGTAAGGGGACTAGACCCCCGATATATTGCACCCGATAGATAATGCCTGAGACGTTGCGGGGGTGAAGGAAGCAGGGGTTCATAAAAGCAGGACGACCCTCGGCCGGCAGTAGGGTCAGAGCTGGAGTTTAAGGGGGCGTGGGCAGACGTGGACTGACCTGAGATAGTGAGAAGTCTGCAGTCTCCTGGGCTGATCGATCGTATGAGACCCAAGATAGGAGCGTGGCCCACGCGCAGACAGGCGTAGGACTGGGCCTTGGCCAATCTGCGGATTTCAAATGCTGACAAACCCCAAAAGGGTCTAATTTGGTAATTCTTGAGCTATGCCGCTTACAGGCTCCATGTCTGAGATTACTGTCAATGGAGGAGGAGGGAAATCAGGGTTTTCTTGCACTAAAAGCGGTCCCAGTTAGGGGCAAGGCTGGGGGACATGAGTGCCCCCTGTCCTGAACACTAACCACCCAACTTCCTCCAGCTGCGTAGAGAGTGCCCACTGGCTCAGCTGATGGACAGTGAGACGGACATGGTGCGGCAGATCCGGGCTCTGGACAGCGACATGCAGACCCTGGTCTATGAGAACTACAACAAGTTCATCTCAGCCACAGGTGATTCTTACTGGGATACTCCTTGCAGACCCACATCCCCCAGTTACTCCTGTGTTGGGGAAGCCAGAGGATTTAGATGGAGCAGACCCAGATTCCAGTCCTGCCCTGACATTAATCCACTGTCACCTCTCTCTCTGAGAGCATTTGTGATCTGATGGCTATAGAGGTAATAACTGTTCTCAGAGGGTTGTTTTGCGGACCAAAGGAGAGAAAGGACAAAATGAAATTTAAAAAAATGAATTTATATGAAACACTTAGACTCTCTGACACTAAGGGTGCCTCAGTAAGGTTAGTTTCGCTTATTAGTGGCATTGTTCTTCTTTGGTTCAAGTCTGCCTTGTAATAAGCTTATGTCTTTCTCTCTCTTCTCTTCTCTTCTTTCCTTTTCTTCCTTCCTACCTCTCTCCTTCCTTCATTCCTTTCCCCTTCTCCCCTTCTTCTTCTTTTTTTTTTTTTTAACAAATCCACACTTTTCAATAAGTTTAAATCCTTGAGGGGTACAGCATCACATGGATTCTGTGTCCAGTGGCCTTAGCAGGAAGATTGCTTCGGAATTTGGCATGAACTATGCCACTGTTTCCATGAGCATGAGTTACCTTTCCCCAGATTACTCTGGTTTTGTTCAGTTTTCCATCAGGAGTTAATGTGTTGTTCTTTGCTTTGTACACACAAGCACATCTCTTGCCTAGATAGAATTCAATTTCAGCTTGTGCATAAATACCGTCAATTTTAAGAAGAGCCATGTGCTCCCTCTGGTTCCGGAGACCCCTCTTATAGCCAGCAAAAATGGCCTTGGACCACAGCCTTCCAGACATATTTATTGGTTTAGAAGTCCTGTTCCCAGCAGGTTTCCACAGTCTCCAAGATGGCTGAAAGAGCTCTTTTTTTTTTTTTTTTAATGAAGCAAAGAGACTGAAAATTTATGACAGTAAGGGACAAAGATCAAGTAAAGGGTTTCTTCCCCTTCTGTCCCTTTTATTCAAGACAGTGCTAGACAGCATTCAGCTATCATTTGCACTAGCTTCTGTCCTCTGTTGGTGACATGCACTGCTCAGACTTTAGTAATAATTTTGGACCCACACGTACTAGTCCTAGAGGCAGATCCGGAGGGTCTACTGCAGGCTGTGGGACTGTTCCATGAACCTCTGTGGGGTGCATTCTCACACCTCTCATTCTGCTCGCGTCACAATGGTGGGTGTAGTAACACACAGTCATCGTTCTTTTATCTGATTTGAAGCAGGTTCTATGAGTACGTGCCCTTATATTTGTTAATATTAATATCAGCATCAAACAGCAAGAAAGTATAATTCCTATGCTGAGAAGTTTCTCCAGGAATTTGCCAACATTACATTTTCCATTTGTTAGAATATGTATAATATTTTGACACTTCGCTCTTCTTAATAGGGATGATTTGGTTTTTTACCTTTTTTCCTAAGAAAAGGAGAAAATTATAAAGTGAGTGTTGGAGTTAGGGGTTCTAAATCTATAAAGACTTTAGAGTCTTATATTCCTTAAAGAAATAATCACTGAATGCTTTTTTTTTTCCTTCCTTTTTTGCCAAGGGCTCCTCTACATATTGGGAATCTAACAGTGAACCAACTAGATCAAGCTCCTGCCTGGAGCCCACATTCTAGTTGGGAAGACAGACAATAAGTGAACACACAAATAAAAGTAGTAGTAAGTGCTATAAGAAAAAACAGTAAGAGGAAAAGAGTAATGTGGGACGGGGGGTTCCATCTTTAGGGTAAGTATGAGAAGGCACCTCTGAGGTGGTAAACTTTGAGCAAGGCCTTGGTGAGGAAGAGCCAGCCATGGGGAGGAGAAGTTAGGGGACGAAACAGCAGGAACAAGAATTCTGAAGAGAGAACGTGTCTGGTGTATTCAGAGTGAAGCAGGGAGTTTGGGAGGAGGAAGGGAGGAGGAGAGGTAGGTGACTAGGGCGGAGGGTTAGTGGGGGCCAGATTATGTAGGGATTTGTAAGTGGGTATGAAGATCCTACTCTTTACTCTGAGTGAGAGGAAATGAACAGAAGAATGGGGTGACCTGACTTTTGTTTTAAAAGGACCTCTCTGCCCACTTTATTGAGACTGGACTATAGGGAGGCAAGGATGGCAGAGATACCCATTAGAAGGCTATTGCAACAGGCTATTGCAAGATGCTGGTGGTATGGACTGAGGGGTAACAGTGGAAAAGTGGGAGGATCTGGGGGCAGAGAGGCCCAGGCTAAGGAAACAACCTGTGCAAAGGCCCTGGGAAAGTGCTGTGACCGGAGCAGGGAGAAAAAGAGAATGGAGCAGGGAGAACAAGAGAACAGAGCAGGGTCTAACTGCATTGGCTATGCGCCAGGGGTGGTCTTCTGAAAAGACCAAAAAGTAAATATTTTAGGCTTTGTGGACCATCTGGTTTCTGTTGGAACTACTTAGATATCATTGTAGCCTGAAAGCAACTGGAGATAATATAAATGACTCAGCATGGCTGTATTCCAGCAAAATTCATTTACGCAAACAGGCATGGTGTCCAGGGTGGCCTCAGCAAAAATAGTGGAGGAGGTGCATTTGAAAATGTCCCCTCCATGAAAGCAACCCCAAAACTGGCCAAAATAGTTAGAATTAACTTTCTCAGAACTATGAAAATTAGCCAAAGATGTGCAGCAATCAGAGGAGCATTTATTTGACAAAAACAGCTGAATCTTGGTAAAAGTAGCAATCCTGAGATGTTTTAACTTGCCCTGGCCCCACCATTTCCTCTCCATCTCTGCAGTAACCTTGAAAAATAGCCCATATTCCTAGTACTAGAAGGAGTGGAACAAAGCTGGAGCTGTTTCAATGCCTCATGCCCAAAGAATTATCATTATTTAACCTGTCTGGTGGTTTCCTAACACACTCCACCCGGTAGGTTTGTCTTGACCTGGAGGTCACCCAGTGTTAAAAGCCTCTCACCAGAGTTGTTTGTCAAAAACAATTATAGGCAAAAGTGGTGTCTCCCTGAAGTGATGAATAACACATGGGGCAAATAATAGTACTAACCCAAAAGCTTAAAAGGAAAAGCTGAGGAATGAGATGTCTCTAGGGGCTTTGACAAGCTCTGACATATTAGTAATTTTGAAGGGCCAACATATGTAGGGTAGTACACATGCTTTTAAGGACCTGAGAATGCCCTAAGCTCTCACCTCTGGCTCACCTTCAGGCTTAGTGCGAGCAGGAAGTGAAAGCTGAGGCAGAGTTATAAACCTCCTGGTTAAGTGTTTAAGGTATGCCCCAACACACACACACACAGAGCTCCTCAATAAATACTAGGAGATTTATTGTTTCCAGGTATTTAAAGAAATTCCTGTCCAATCAGTAGCTGATCACTAAGCTAACCAAGTAAGTATTTTAGTGGCTATACACAACAAAGAATTCAGACTTTACAGAATTGATTCAGAAGCTAATTAGTACAGGTTTAGTAACTCAGAAAAATAAACAACAGCAACAAGCAGCAACAACAATAAACAGGAGAAGAGAATCTGATTTCTAGACTTGCCATGTTATTTATCTGTTTTTTCAACAAAAATTTATAGGACATGCAATAAAGCAGGAATCCGACCCATACAGGGGAAAAAACTCAGTAGAAACTCTGTAGAAGCCCAGACATTGGATTTATTACAGAGATTTAAATCTGCTATTTTGAATATGTTCAGAGACCTAAAGTAAACTGTATCTAAACTAAAGAAAGGAATGAGATTGTTTCACCAAATACAGAATATCAAAGAGAAGAAATTATTTAACAAAAGAACCAAATAGAAATGATAAGGTCCAACAACTAAAATGAAAGATCGCTGGAGGGGCTCTTTTACAGATTTGAACAAGCAGAGAAAGAATAAGCAGACTTGAACATAGGTTAGATGAAATTATTCAGTGTGAGGAACAGAAAGAAAGCATGAAGAAAAGTGAAGAGAGCCTTAGGGACCTGGGGTACACCATCAAGTGTGCCCACACCTGCATAATGGGGATGCCAGAGTGAGTGGAGAAAGCAGAAATAATACATGAAAAAATAATGGGCAAAACCTGCCCAAATTTGATGAAAAGCATTAATATACACATCCAAAAGCACAACAAACCCCAAACCCTTGTTCCACAAGGCAGAGTGAGAGGGTTTGGGAGGTCTGGGAAGGAGATAAGGGTGTACAAGTATTTATTGTCTCCCGGTGCCAGGCAGGGTGCTGGGCCTGGAAGATGCCCCTGGGAAGGAGCAGACAGGTCCCTGCCAAGTGCCCTGTGCCCTCCTTTGGATCTGGGCGTCTTCTGGGAGCAAGGGCTGTAGCATCATGGGCCATCTCCCCACTGCACCAGGACTAGGAGCACACAAGGGGTGCTCAGAAAACATCTGCCGCACTGACATGATGACACCTCACCCCCATTTCCAGTGACCAGGCACCACTGCAACCCTTTTCAAGCACCGAATCAGCAGTGTGACCCTAGAATGGGCTCAGGCGTGCTTGGGAAGTGGGGTGAGGGTGTGTGAGGGCATTTGGCCGTGGTCTCAAGCTGAGTGTTCTGCCTGGGCCCCTCCTCAACCGCTTTTCCCTCTCCTGCGCTCCTGCACTTGTAGACACCATTCGGAAGATGAAGAACGATTTCCGGAAGATGGAGGACGAGATGGACCGGCTGGCCACCAACATGGCAGTGATCACAGAATTCAGCGCGCGCATCAGTGCCACGCTTCAGGACCGTCACGAGCGCATCACCAAGCTGGCAGGTGGGCCGCGCCCCAGAGCTGGGGCTAAAGTGGGCCACCCTCGGGGCTTTGGGGCTAACACCATCTCCCCCTGTCCCCCCAGGGGTCCACGCGCTGTTACGGAAGCTGCAGTTCCTCTTCGAGCTGCCCTCACGCCTCACCAAGTGCGTGGAGCTGGGCGCCTACGGGCAGGCGGTGCGCTACCAGGGCCGCGCGCGGGCCGTGCTGCAGCAGTACCAGCACCTGCCGTCTTTCCGCGCCATCCAGGACGACTGCCAGGTCATCACGGCTCGCCTAGCTCAGCAACTACGGCAGCGCTTCAGGTGTGGGCCCAGGGCTCTCATTGCCAACCTCGCTGGGCACTTGGGTCTGCTCCCATCCCCCCCGAATTCTATCTTCCTGCTCTTCACCTGCATCTCCCTCCCCGCAGGGAGGGCGGCTCGGGGGCCCCAGAGCAAGCAGAGTGCGTGGAGCTGCTGCTGGCCCTGGGAGAGCCTGCGGAGGAGCTGTGCGAGGAGTTCCTGGCGCACGCGCGAGGGCGGCTGGAGGAGGAGCTGAGAAGCCTGGAGGCGGAGCTGGGACCCTCCCCGTCCGGCCCCGGACGTATTAGAGTTCACTGACCATGGCGGCAGCGGCTTCGTCGTGGCCT